ACCATCATTTCAATAATACAAAGCGCTTGTATCTTACATAATTTTATCAGAAAAAAAGATGGTATATCATATACTACCTTCTTACTTGAAAAAGAAAACCAACAACGAATCCAGCGAAATCCGAGTACCTTAGCAGAATTAGAAAATTTAGATTTAAATGAAAGTTCTTCTCCACAAAATATACGACATTATTTAAATAATTATTTTTTGTTGCCAAATGTTTCTCTGCCATGGCAATGGGATTATTGCATATAAAGTACAAACTGCAACTATAAAGTAAGCTGCAAATCCAAACCCATTTCCACAATATCCTGAACAGCCCTATTGTTTTCATTTTCATCGATTGTTTTCGCGCGAATTGAAGTATGTAAGTATTTCAATAAAATTAAATATTATCGGATTATATTGAACATATTTATTTATTTACAGAATATGCCACCCGTATCACAGCTCAACTCCAAAAATAATCCGGCCAAATCAGGCATTGGCAATGACTCCCGACAACGGCGACATGGACGATGTACAAATGGCGCATATTTTTGGCAGTTTTTGTAAACTTCACCGTGATGAGCTCTTCCAGCGCCGCAAGTGAGCGACATGTTTCTATTTCATTGTTTTACCTATTTATCTTTTAAAAAATTTTGTATAGACGCCAATTCCCAATTTCGAAGAAGATAGAATATACCGTCACTTGGAGCCAGCATGTGATTTCCAACTTGAACTGAATCGCATGAAATCCTATGAATTGGAAGCCTTACCAACTGCGAATCAAAAAATGCACCTCTATCTGGGTAAAGCCAAGGGTACGAAGGGCAAAGAAGTCACCGACTATCGCAATACATAGTTTAGGAAGAGCCTGCCTGAAACTATACAAAAAGCAAATAAGCAAATGGATGTATAGAATTGACAACAACAACCACGCTGTCGAGTTTAAATAGCGGCAAATCAGCTGCACTTGATAGTAGTTGGTTGAATAAGGAAAATGAATTAGCAACAAAAGTTTACGGAATGTACATAGCTCAGTGGTTAACGCTACTGACTTTGAACATTGATTACGCAGGTTCGATCCCTGCTGAAGTTTAGAAAAAAGAAGTCTGATGAGGAGATGTGGTGATCTCCGAGCTCTAGTGCTATAACTTCTACCGCTTAGACTTTGTTGCTTTTTCAATTTTGTGTTTGCATTGTTCAACTTTGCGTTCAACATTTGCGTTCAACTCAGCGCAGGGTTGCACGAAAAAAAAGTTGAATGACTAAAAATATCAAAATATGAAAATATATCAAAATATTCGCCATAAAAAGGTGTTTGCATTGTTCAACTTTGCATTCAACTTTTGGTTGAATGGCCTTTCAACTAATCGCTTTCAACAAAGTTGGTCGCCAGCCAACATTTAGCCATTCAACTTTTTTTTCGTGCAACCCTGCGTTGAGTTGAACGCAATTGTTGAACGCAAAGTTGAATAATGCAAACACTGCTTAATAAACAATCGTGGTACAAAGCTCAATAAAAAATATTAGAAATAAATTTTGTTTTGTTGGTTTATTTCAGATAAAGTTTAAGGCGTATGGCGAAAAACTGGGCTCACTGCATGGTCATCCAATTTCCACGCCCTACATGACCAAAGATTTTCTGCAACAGAAACGTTTTCAGGCACAAAAAAACGGCACAACATATGTATACGATATACCCGACATGTTCCCGACATGATGCTGTGGTAAGCATATGCAATTATATATAAAACAGAACATCGGTGTTCACACTACGTTTGATATATAATTAATTTAATAGCACATTTTTGAATTATTAAAAAAAGAAAGAATCATTAATCAACTACTTAGTAATAGAAACTTTCAAATACATTAATACAAATATACAATAAAATATTTAGCTGTGTAACAAGTGTGAATTATCAAATTAAAGTGGATGTATCTATTGTAAATTTGTTATTTTTAATGTATCCACAGCCAATAAGATTATATCTAGCCTAAGGTTGGTGTATCAAGTAAATGAAAATATAAAATTGAAATTTTCGTTTTTTTTATCTACCTCAGAGGTTCGATGCCTAGGTTAGGTTAGCTTGGTTTTTGAGGAGTTTGAGGAACGGAATAGTGTGATTTACCGGCCCAACTATAGATAAATAGTTCCTCAAGCCTTTGACACCCTCCAATCTTTTGACGCACGTATGTTTTTCTTTCATACCAAGATGCCATGGGTCCATTATTGGTCTAATGAATTTTTTGTAGATCAGGTGCGCGAGTCGAGGCGATCGGACCCATGTCTTACCGAGCACTTCGTTCAAGTGAATGTATAAGGCATTGAGGCCTTCTTAACCCTCTCTGAATTCTCCATAATATAGTGCCATTATATATTAAATTACATATTTATTTATGTATTTAATTAAAGTGCATGCACAACAACCAGAGATTATAAATTCAAATTTCGCATTTTCTGACGAACGTGTAATTTCTAGTTGTGACACTTTTGAAGAACGTGTGCAATATGACTGTATTTTGGAACTAAAAATAATTACTCTTCTTCACAGGCAATGCAAGTGAATGGGAATATGATTACTCTACTGACGTCTGCCTCGTTTTGGGAACACAAAACTGAGTCCATACCTTCTCTTCATTGCTTACTCATCCACTCTTCATAAATGAATACACATGTAGCCTTAATTTAGTTTAATTCTGCTTTATTAAAAATTAAATAAGTAATGAATTTATAATAATTAATGAATTATGAAATATGTATTCAGGCATGCTCTGCAAATCGTACGATATCAAATTTATTGTTTGAAGTATTGTTTCGATGGCTGAGTGGAAGATCGACCTATCTCGGCAGCCAGTTCGAAAACGCCCTATCTCAGCAAATTTTCCAAGAACGCCCTATCTCAGCTGCCGATTCAAAAACGCCCTATCTCAGCTTTTTTTCAATGTATTTTCGTTTGAGATAGGGCGTTTTTGAATCGGCAGCTGAGATAGGGCGTTCTTCAACACAATTATGAGATAGGGTATTCTTCAATCAAATTCTGAAGTAGGGCGTTTTTGAACTGGCTGCCGAGATAGGTCGATCTTCCACTCAGCCATCGGTTTACTGTAGCAATTAGACTTTTATGGAAAAATAAAAAACATAAAATAAACAAAAGAAAAATAGGCACAATTGATCCAAATGTTGATGAATTAATCAGCTGATCACAAGTGTATATTGTTACCTTAATTCGCCCTAACCAATAAATTTTCCAGGAGAAGCAAAAAACTACTTTTGGTACTAACTCTTTAAAATTTCTATTGAAGTTGTATTTAAATACATTCTACAAAAACCTGTGAAAACGCAGTTTCGAAAAAATTTTTATTTAGGGCCTTTGTGAATTAAAGTAACGATATGTAAAAATTATGTACATTAAAACCTCATCCCTCACATTTTTGGTAAAAAAAAAAACGGAAAATGAAATGAATACGCAAAAATAATACCACCCTAATGTACATACATACATGCATTTTATATCAAAACTATTGTGAGAAGAAAAATGATTGATTTCTACCCAAAGCTTGTGGGTCAATATTGGAGTTGCTGTCGGTCGGGTATATTACTGTTGTTGGAGTTGGTGGATCAATGGGTGAAGAAGCTGGCGTATTCATTTGAATTGTTCCACATGGAACAAACTGCTGATTCGCAGCTTCTTGCTCCTGATCAGACATCAATTCCTCCAGTAAGAGCAATGTACGGATTTTAAACTGTCTTAAAAGCATATCTGAAGGACTCGTTACTTCCGGCAGCAAGCTCAAAAGGTACATTTTACGTGAATCATCGGCCGTCTTCCTATGGGTTTTTTCTTGCAGATAGTTCAGCATCGCAACGTAAACCTCGTCCTTTTCTTCTACTTTCTACCTTTTCTTTTTTTCCACACTAGATGGGGTATCTTGTGAATGCTTGGATGTTTGCGGCATCATCATTTTCGGTGCACTCCACATCCTCATAGTGATGGACATCAGAATCTGGCAATATAAAATTATAGGTGGTCTCTTAATGTTGCACAGGTTTCACATATGGCAACACAAAGCTCATTATGTCGTGCAAGTAGTATGGTTTCTTTGCTTTAGAAGAAGAGCCACTTGGAAATGGTTTCAAACTCCTAACAAACCCTTTTCGCATATTTTTCCACTTTTCCTTGCAATCAGCCACTGCGAAGAAATTAATTAAGACACATTTGTTACAGTTTGCCATGGAAGCGTAACTTTTCTTTATAAAATGATAATTAACTACAAAACCACAAAAATGCAAAAAGATATTTTCTGTGCACTTACCTGACCAGTTCATTCCCAGGACTATTGCTGCCCAGGCTTTTTCAGTTATGTCCTTTCTGGAATATTCCTGCATCGTGTTGTTGTATATGCAAGGATTATTTTCAATAAATTGAACAAATTTAATTGCTTCCTCTGCCATGTTTAATAAAAATGCAAACGCGCTCAAACAAAACTGTCCACAATGTACGGCAAGCGAACAGAACTGCTATACGCTAGGTGATTTCCAGCTCGCTTGCTTTGACGAATACGCGTAGCTGACGACTCGTGTACAGCTCTCCATTTAAACACAAGCGTTCGGCAACAAAGCGTACGGCATTCGAACATCGCATCTAATACGCGTTTAAAGCCGTACGACCCGTGTGCAGTGTGCCTTAGAGTAGCATTTAGAGCTAAGGGCTGGTTACTCAATGTCTGGTTAACACTAATCTGCGGTTAAACATCGTTATTGACGTCTTCGACTCCATGCATATAGCACGGTGTCGGTAAAGTCGATAACTATGTTTAACCGGGACTAGCGTTAACCAGACATTGAGTAACCGGCCCTAAATGCGCTAAGGGCCGGTTTCTCCATCTCTGGTTAACACTAACTCCCCGGTTAAACATTGTTATCGACGTTCTAACTCCATGCATATAACAGGGAGTCGATAAGGTCGGTAACGATGTTTACCGGGGGATTAGTGTTAACCGGAGATAGAGCCCTAAATGTGCTTTTACGCGTAAGCAAAAACAGCCCATTGGCAGGCTGTACGTGTGTTTTTGGTTAGTGTATTGGTGTTTTTGGTTCAGTGGGTTAGTGTTTTTTGAATAAATTGTAATAGAAATAAAAGAAATTATAATAGAAATGAAAGAATTTGTAAAAGGCATTTTTTGGCAATCAGCTGATAGTGTTTTTACTTATGAAACTGTACGATGTAAATTATGTTCACTAAAATTTTATTAATGTAAAAAAACAATTGGCAAGTAGTAATCGAATTTAATGTAAAATTTAAATGTTTTTAAGATAGGATATTAATTATTTTTTAAGGTAAATGTTAATACAATTATTTTATTTATACCCCCAAATTTAGGATATAAAATCCCCCCCACCAAAAAACTTAAATTAGGTGACGCCGCTTTGAATTTTTTACAATTGAGCAATTGTCAAAAATCTTTTTACAGCCCTATTCGCGTGCAATGACAAAACTCGCCGCTATAACTATTGGCATGTTTATTATCAATTGTCACGTTTAGGTATGCAGAGGGTAATTTGGAAGCTCCAACGGCGACAATTGCTTTTATTTTTGTGATGACCTATTGAGTACGTGACAACGCTAAAACATATGTTAATGTTTTAAATTTTATTATTTTTGCAGAAAAAAGTTGCAAAATTTTACTAAATGAAAACTGTGAAACGATTTTATTTGCCTAAATAGGTGTATTAAAAAGTTATTATTTGCTTATAAAAATCCTAATAGTACCCATTGTAGCATATTATTCACGGAGAAAATAATTATTATATACGCGACTATTATTGTGGAGCACGAAAAAATTATACAGAGAAGAAGACTTCTGAGGGAATCCCACACAACAGTTTTTTGGACAGTTTTTACACGTTTGCAGCTCGGGGTGGTCTTCACAAAACTGCAGCTGCTCTTGTGTGGTGCATTCATATTCTGCTGGCCTGTTATGTTACACGACTTCATAATGAAATGAAATAAATTTTTCTATTATAAAATTACTCACATTTCCGGCGTTTCGTAATCCATTGCTGCGGTGTATTTTATTTAAAAGAAATACCACTGCAACAGAGGCGGTCAAAAAGAACAATTAAAATGCAAACAATAAAGAGAAACTTTCGCCACAATTGGCAAATAAAATGAGTGTTTCGCTTGCCATTATTAAGTGTGCATACCTATAACAACAGTTGATTGTACGACAATGACAATTGAACTGTGACAATTGACGACTGTGACAACACGCGAATAGGGCTGTTAACAAAAAAGTTGTTTATTGAAACTTCCTTCGTTTTCATGATTCAATTATTAAAGGTTTTCTAAGTAGCTTTTTTCTAAAATTTGGCACTCCCACCCACAGGGATGGTTTATGGAAGCAGGAGAAAAGGGGGAAGAATTCAATCACACTTCATAAAATGGGAGCTAAATTCCATAAAAAGGTGTGGATAATATTGAATGGTGGTATTTTTGTAGTATATCCTATCACCGACTAAATGAAACTTCATAGATGATTGTAGTGTTAATCCCAAATTTGCTTTTTATTAACCTCTAACTTCAACAACCGGATCTTTTTCTACACGTGTATTTTCTGACATCTCAGCTGTCACCCTCTATTGCCTATTCGTTGTCTTCTAAAAGTTGTAGGGTTGCCAAGGAATACCACACTCCTCCGCGATTAGTCAGGATCAAA